ACGCACTGCCAACACACATTTCAGTTCAAACAGCTTGTAAAAGTGCATGTAGCATCCTATGACCCCTTTAATATTTTATTAGCAAAACAAACGCAAAGCTTCTACCAAGAAAAAACTGTTCCTGGCAAGAGTAGAGTGCCGACTGCAGTAACCCGGATGAGCCAGAGTTATCAGCTTTCACTCACACACATGCACACAGACACACACACAGATACACACACAGATACGCACAGACACGCACAGACACACGCGCGCACAGACACACAGAGAACGATGAAGATGCTTGATTCATAAATCAAGAACCAAAATGACAGAGGTCTTGTTTTATAAGAAACTGATCAAAATTAAGTGAGATAATGATCAAAACAAGAACAAATCTGTCAGAAAAATCAACTTAATTCAAAGGGAAAACAAGTTTACATTCCCCATTAACAGATATTTGTTCTTGATTTAATCATAAATCATTTAATTTTGTATCTCCAGTAAATGTATCTTGATTTAAGGTTTTAATATTTGTACTGAAAACAAGACAAACACTGAGGAAGAGATTCAGTTAATGCCACGGCTTTATGAGTTTAAACTTTCTGCTCTGATTCAAGACCTTGATTTGTGGAAGGCTGAATTAGATGTATTTAAACCCACAGAAAGCCCATCAGTAGTTTCGGTTATATAGGCATCCGTAAGCTTCTATAGGTTATATGTGCACGGCTCTTTCTCTACAGGGTTCTATGTATTACTGCGCTCCTGTGAGTATAAGCTCACTTCAGCTCAAACTACACAGGGAGAATTCATCAGAAGTGAAATCTGATGGCAGTGTAAGATCAGAGGACTCTGTGTGTCTCAGGTGAACGCTTCACTCACCGCCTGACCGTAGACGGCCTCCTCCGGCTTCCCAGTGCCGTCCACACCGCCGTGAACATACGAGGAGCTCCTGCCATAAAACCTGCACAGCAAACACCACCAGAGCGTTCAACACGGCCCTGACAGGACCCGCCACACGCTTCTCTCCACTCACCTGTGCAGGTAATCCGGCGCTTTATTCAGCAGCGTGTAGTACTGCCGCACAAACTCACGTCCTACGAGCAGGGGGCTCGGCTTCTCCATCACCATCTCTCTCTCTCACACACACACACACACACACACACACTACGACACACACACACACGAGAAACACAGCAGATCATGAGAACTTTAATCATAACACAGTCAGACAGGTATTTAAACACTGAAAGAGACGGACAGAACAATAGATAGATAGATAGAACGATAGATAGAACGATAGAATGATAGATAGAGCGTAAACCCTCGTCGGTTATGTAATAAGTGAATGTAAACAGTTGAGAATGAAGATGTGCGTAACAGTAAATTGGATTTGTATGGCTCTTAAAGGGTTAGTTCACCCAAAAATGAAAATTAGCCCATAAATTACTCACCCCCGAGGCATCCTAGGCGTATATGACTTTCTTCTTTCAGACGAATCCAGTAACGCATTGATTCGCTACAGGAGGCCTTTGTTCACCCCCCGGAGCTGTGTTAGACACTTTTTTTTTATGGATGGGCACTTTTTATTTAACTTCTTTTGGACGAATCTCTTGGATGAGTGGCATTAAACAGCTTGAAAGATCAAAGACCGTTTTTAATATAACTCCGACTGGATTCGTCTGAAAGAAGAAAGTCATATACACCTAGGATGGCTCGGGGGTGAGTAAAACGCAGCCTAATTTTCATTTTTGGGTGAACTAACCCTTTAAAGTGACAGCAGCCTAATATTCCAGCTGACAGTGTGCTTAATCAGAATCAGAATCAGCTTTATTGCCAGGTATGTTTACACATACGAGGCGAGGACGAACGTCTGCATGAACCTCCTCATGGGTCGGCCGCTGTTGGACAGCTCACCCATCACCTGCACCACCACCCCGTCCCCCAGCGTCGCATGAGCATCCACCTGCCTGATCTTAGTGTGACACTCACTGAACTGCAGAGACATCACCTTCTTGTGGATCTCCTGCACACACACACACACATACACACATACACACACAATAATAATAATTACAGCTTTATTGCCAGGTATGTTTACACATACGAGGAATTTGCTTTCGTGACAGAAGCTTCACAGTGTAACAGAATGACAGCGACAGAACAAAAACACAGATAAAATAAAAAATAGAACAAGTAAATAAGGAATGCAATATACAAATTGACAATTGTATGTGCAGGTATATAACAATAGACAGTTTTGCATGTTGTATGTGATATTAACCAAACAACTAAAGACAGAACATCACTCGCTGCTCTCGACTGAAGGACTTTCGTAACTTTAATAAGAAACAAAAGAAGTTTGATTATTACAGTGTAGACCATTCTGTTTTATTTTACATTCAATGATTCAGTTTCTGTAGCAGCTGTTAGTTAGTTACCCAGTATTTTGCTGAGGTGTTGAGAACCGTCTCCAAAATGTTGATATCATGGCAACCTTATTAACAGAACGATAGATGGATATTTAAGAGGAAGAGTTATAGACAGACACTGAAAGAGACAGAATACGGATGATGGAGAGATAAATGCAGACAGATAAACAGACAGAAAGATGGAGTGAGGCGCACGTGCGCGCTGCAGACAAACAATAGCGCTCGCGTGCTTTAGCTTCATGCTAACCGCGCTCAAACTCACCTGCTGCGACAGAACCCGTTAAACGCCGCACGCTCGCTCTCTCCGCACACACTCGAGCGCCGGACCACGACCCGCTCCTGTTTACCGGGAAAACACGACCGACAGCAGCCGAGCCGAAATATACAAACACGGAGACAGACGTGCGCGCGTCCGCCACTCTCGCCTCGCTCGCGCGCGCGCACGCCTGTGACGCAGAAGAGCAAGAACGCGTCACGCGTCACGCGCAGGCGCAGAAGCAGTTTCAGGAAACCTTGTTCAGTTTGTTTCGAAAGATAATATTTGTCATTACTGTGACTCTGCCAACAAAACTAAAGAGTATATATTCTACTTTTTTATTTTGTTTGGGGCTCAATTCCTACTCTTTCGCATTTTCTGATCGAGGTTGACTCACTGCTCACATCTTTCTGTTTGACTAGCAATAAAACATGTCAGGTTTTTGGAATTATATGAAAGGTGCATTTCTGTTGACTCTGATTAAGTTTAGATATAGCTTTCCTTCATTGCTCTTTTATTTTTATTGTTATTATTATTATTTTCCCCTTTATTGTAAGCGTCTTATTGTGTTTTATTTCTATCTTCTTTTCTTTGTTAATGTTCTCCTGAAGCTGATTGTATATTTTCATCCAATTTCTTGAATTTTTTTATTATATGTGAAATCTAAATGCTATGCTCTGGTTCTCTTTTTCTTGTTTTATTTTTGTTTGCTTTTGTTTCTTTTTTTAGTATATATATATATATATATATATTTATGTATGCTTACAATCTGCTTTTATAATAAACCTGCCAAACTTATTATATCTGAAATAACTAACGCTTCACACAAATATAGGAGTGTTTTCTAGAGAAACTGTCTTCGAGCTCTTTTATTAATTTTGTTCGACTCAGTGTTCAAGAATGTGCTCATGTATTCAAGTCCAGTTTATTTGAAGCCTAGCGCTTTACAATACAGATCGTTTTAAAGCAGCTTTACAGAAACAAACAGAAAAATAACAATTAATGATGTAAATGTAAACAAATATGAGACTAATTCTGCAGTAAAGCATCTTTAAAAAGACAAGCGTGTCATTATTCAGCTCAGCTCAGTGTTTGTTTAGATTCAGTCCAGTAGCTCCAGAAGACAGAGTCATTCAGATCAGCTCAGGTCAAGCTTGCTTTATTCTTATACAATAATGTCAGTGCTGTCAAATTAATAATAGCATTGAATATTATATTAAATAGTATAGAATATGAATTATTCAGTGCTTTTTCTTGAAGTAAATGAATCTCTGACAGGTTTGATGGTAAAACCCAAAGAGAATCTATGACACGACTCTCGGACATGCTTCTGTCCAGCGGGGCAGCGATGTTGAGTTCCTATTACTGTGCAATGACCTATTCTGTGTAATAATGCCCTGTGCTGTTAAAGATTCATTCACTTGTGTCTTCATTCTCACCAGTGGAGATTTTCCTTTCTGTCTGTTCCCAGATAGCACAGGTACGTCTGCAAGAGGTCTGGTAAAGATTGCTTCATCTGGAGAGCATCTGCTGTGTGCAAACATCTGATAGACATCTCTAAGATGTCAGTTTTACATTCATTCTAAATCATAAACATCTTAAAGACATCTTCTAAACGTCTATTTGACATCTGATAGGAAACGTCCAATAGACGTATAGCAGATGAGCAAACACTTAAACATACGTCTTGCAGATGTAATGCAGAAGTCAAATAAAGTCTCTGTGATGGACGCGTGCTATCAGCTTTCAAGGTAATTAAATCTGGTTACAAAAAAAAAACGTGTTGAATTCATTTCAGAACAAAGTCAGAATAAACTTTGAGAACTAAAGGCATCTTTACACATTAAGGCTGCTCTGTGCCTGCTCAAAATTCTGAATAAAGATGTAATGCTGCATAAAATCCAGACTAAATTAAGCCAGCTCTGCCCCACCTCAGCCCCTAGTATTACTGTAATGAATACAGCTGTAATTGCTTAGAAAATGCATTTGTGCCACCTCTTAGCAGCATTAAACAATCTGTGTGAAGACACATAAATGCCACTTCAGAAGCGCTTCTGAGCCACCTTTGCAGTGTAAATTTGGCATAAGATTACTCTGATCATCACTGCGTCTCCTGCTCTTCAGACAACCAATATCAGACATAAAATATGGCTTGAGATCTGGAAACAAACGAAACTGGTTGACATGTGCTGTTCTACATGATAGCACCGGTAGGATTTAATTAACAAATGACAAAAAACACCCACTGTCAGAGTTGCCTACTGTGAGGAGCGAGGAGCGAGGAACGAGGAGACGTGGGGGAATTCACGAATACAGTCTTTAATAATCCACAGGAACAAGGAACACACATAGCAATGGGGATAGACGTTAGACACTGGACCAAAACTGGAACACAGGTCTGACATTACCTCCCCCTTCTGGAAGGCGCGTCCATGTGCCACATAACTTCCAATGGGGAGGGAGGGTGGGCGCTCTGGAGGCCTCTACGGACAGGCTTACACGGGACAGAAGACCTCCAGGGCGGTACCCGTTCCAGGACCCATGGCGAATCAGGGAGCCATGGAGGAGTAGGCAGACTAGGGGGGCCATGGCGGAGCAGGCAGTTCAGGAGGCCATGGCGGATCAGGCAGTTCCCGGGAGCAATGGCAGATTAGGCAGTTCCGGGAGCCATGGCGGAGCAGGTAGTTTAGGGGATCATGGCGGATCAGGCAGTCCAGGGGGCCATGGCGGAGCAGGCAGACTAGGGAGCCATGGCGGAGCAGGGAACTCAGGGGGCCGTGGCGGAGCGGCCTCCGTGACCTTGGACTCGGCACTCGGCCTGGCCTCTACGGCCGGATCCTTATAGCCCCCCCAAAAAAATTATTTGGGGGAAATTTTAGGTTCTGAGGCCCTCCGTGGGCCAGATGTGGGAACTGTGGCCCTCCCTGGGCTTGACTTGGGAACAGGAGCCCTCCCTGGGCTGGACGTGGTAACGGGAGACCTCTCTGGGCTGGACGTGGGAACTGTGACCCTCCCTGGGCTTGACTTGGGAACAGGAGCCCTCCCTGGGCTGGACATGGGAACGGGAGCCCTCCCTGGGCTTGACTTGGGAATGGGAGCCCTCTCTGCACTGGACGTGGGAACCACAGCCCTCTCTGGGTTTGTCTTGGGAACAGGAGCCCTCTCTGGGCTTAACTTGGGAGCAGGAGCCCTCCCTGGGCTGGACGTGGGAACGGGAGCCCTCCCTGGGCTTGACTTGGGAATGGGAGCCCTCTCTGCACTGGACGTGGGAACCACAGCCCTCTCTGGGTTTGTCTTGGGAACAGGAGCCCTCTCTGGGCTTAACTTGGGAGCAGGAGCCCTCCCTGGGCTGGACGTGGGAACGGGAGCCCTCCCTGGGCTTGACTTGGGAACGGGAGCCCTCTCTGCGCTGGACGTGGGAACCACAACCCTCTCTGGGTTTGTCTTGGGAACAGGAGCCCTCTCTGGGCTTAATTTGGGAGCAGGAGCCCTCTCTGGGCTGGGCGTAGGAGCAGAAGTCCTCTCTGTGATTAATTTGGGAACAGAGTCTTTCTCTGGGCTAGGCGTAGGAGCAGGAGCCCTTTCTGGAGTGGACTTAGGGGCTGGAGCCCACAGTCTCTTCCTCCGAATTCTCCTTTTATGAGCAGAGGTGAAGGAGACTGCTGCTGTCAGCTGAAGGCTTGGGAGTGAACCGGCCGGCGGGCTTGAGAGTGCAGTGGCCGGGCTAGACAACAGAGCGGCCAGCGGGCTTGACGGCGGGCTGGTTTTGAATCGGGGCCGGACACTCTCCAGACACCGGAGGATGCCTTCCCTCCAGCTCAGTCCAGTGGTGTCTGGGAGATCGACAGGGCGATGGTAATTGGCCCCGATCCAGAACAGAGAATTTAGTGTGGCGTCATCCAACGCCATCAAGACGGCGAGCCCGCAGAATTCCCGGGTGAATTCCACAAACGGGAGATCCCTGCGGGCTAGGGCGATGAATCTCGCAGCGATTTCCATGAACGCGGGGGGAAAACGGAAAACAGAAAACTTTCCAAAACGGAAAAAAAATGAGGAGAAGGGGTTCAGCTTACTGTTTGTCAGGTCTGGTGTTCTGTCAGGGGTGCCTACTGTGAGGAGTGAGGAACGAGGAGACGTGGGGGAATTCACGAAAACAGTATTTAATAATCCACAGGAACAAGGAACACACGTAGCAATGGAGATAGACGTTAGACACTGGACCAAGGAACACGGAACAGACACCACTATATATACGCCAGACTTAACGAGGAACTCAATGGAACACACCTGAAATCACTGAACACAATCAGCACGAGGGAAACTGGGTCACAGGGAGCACATGGGGAGTGCAAACACAACAAAACTGGAACACAGGTCTGACACCCACAGACTTGAGCAGTAATGTTATCATCACTGAGGTTTATTGGTAGAGATGCTTTTTCTCCAAGCAGAAATAGTGAAACACACACACACACTCAAACACACACACACACACACACACACACACACACACAAACACACACTCAAACACACACTCAAACACACACTCAAACACACACACTCAAACACACACACAAACACACACACACACACATCCAATAACCAAGCAGTTTTATGCTTGAGGTCATGTCCTCCCTAATCATTATTGTGTTGAGAAATGGACAGGTAGTTGTTCGCTTGCCCCCTGCTCATAATTAAACCTCACTCACACACACCTGCCTGCAGCTTTAGTAGAAACGACAGTGTAACGCAGCCTGGTCTGCCGTGACCACCCCATTAAAGTTCCTACAATTTAAAACTGCTTCACTGCTGCACGAGAGCAGCCATTACTGCAAAAGTTCACACTGGAATCAAAGCTATTTTCTCTCCTTTTCCGGTGTCTGAAAAGCAGATAAAACCACAAAATGCATTGAGCTTGAAAATTACAGA